ATATTCACTTGGTGGACAATGTTTTCTTTTCTTTTGAGATTAGGGTAATATTGCTAATAAATTTTGAATTATGTTTTTGATTTCACCAAATTTAGTCTGTTGTTTCCTCCAGTGCAGTTGCATGTTGCCATTTAATATTGTTGTTGATTTTTTGATATGGGCTTTGATGTCAGATTATGTTATCCAAGAACTGTATTTGATTATCTGGMAACTGGTAGTGCACTAGTGCAGCTTCTTTTCTGTTTTATTTGCCATTTCTTTTAGTAATATTGKTATTTGCTGTTAGAGCATTTTGGAAAATATAAATTTATCAAATAATTAACTGAATCAATCAGAAAAATATACAAATTTAAATAAATTCAAGCCATACTTATATGAGTTTTATACGCAGGAATAACCAAGGAACCTATATAATTATATACGGGTCTTGACGTAATACTCGTTAATTCAGAAAACACCCAAGTTTTTGACGATAGGTTTTAACTTCATTAGTAAAGAAATTAATGGAAAAATTATATTTTTATTATTTTTATCGTAGTCAATTTTTAAACATCTAACTCTTTTGGATGAAAAGGTACACGCAATTTTCACTGAATGGTTATATTCATATCTGGTATACGCCTATACACCAGACAATTTTCAAAATAGGTACTTAACTCTTGTAGTCGTGTTAAACTATTTATAGGCATATGAAATATTCGATTATTACCKAAATCTATTAGTATTCTTAAAATTAATGTCGATAAAAAAATGTTCATTCGGTAAAAAAAAACTTGAAAATGTAATATCATTTAAATTTATAATTTTGACAAGATTCTTGAAAATCACGAAAAATATTTGTAAATTATTGTCCATTAGAAATTCATTAAAAATTATCTTTGTGAGTGTCTAAAGTTAGACATTGGATATTCATAGATTAAGAAATTCTCATATACAAAGATTTCTTTATTTTATTTATTTAATGTTTTCAAAAAATATTAACTGAGAATACTTGAATGTTTGATAAATTAATRTTTATT